TAAACCTCTCCTAGATTTATGGTTCCTATATAAAGTCCAAAGTTAGTTCCTGTAACTCAGACTTTATCAACCTCTACACCTTCAACAGGAAAATTCTGTTTAGATTGATTGATTGATTGATTGATTGATTTTTGAGGGTATCACGATATGTGTAGTGTGTTTGGTGACATCTTTTTCTCTCTCTTTACCACATACCAGCAACACCCTTTATATTGGTTGTGAAAATCAAAGATATTTTTAGACATTGCCATATGTCCTGTGGCGGCAAAGTCTTCCTTGAGTGAGGACTACTGCATGACCCTTTCTCTTGATAGCTGTGGAGCTATGCGAGGCCCCTGCCCCTGGGCTTCCGTGGAGGTGGAATGGCCTATGCTAATAAAAATCATGGTGGTCCTCCATTTCTCCACTTACTGGTCTACAGTAGAAGAGAAGAGAAAGGCAACTCTTCCACTGGTGTTTTAGGGAAAGATTTCCTCACATCAGGAAGCTCTGCTGAGGGGAACCCCCTCAGGACCTTCTGAAGCAGTCACATAAGCACCAGGAAGGAGTCAGCATTAGCTTCTTGTAGAAACGGACCCGTGACCAAGTGCCTTGGGCACGTGGGTTCTTCTCGATATTTGACTATTATGTGTGATGATTCTCTCAAGATTCTTGACTAGTGTTTGGCTCATTTAATCAATGTTGATATTATATAACTTAATTTTTAACGCCTAGCACCAATGGTTATTTTAATAAACAAGCTGTGTTGGTTTAGTCCCGGAAGTACCTACTGCTGAATGTTGAGATTGAAGCTATAACTTAGAAGGAATCAAATAAATAAATACACATATATACATATATCCCTGCATAAGCAAACAAAAGTATATATAAATAGCTGCTTTGCCTAGGATATAAAAATGTTGGGTAGACTGCATGACTAAAGAGAAGAGAGAGGGCTACAAACAGACTGATAAAAACAAAGGAGAGCACAAAATTTGTCAGTATGCCCTGAGATATTTGAATGCTCAAGGATTTTCAAAACTAAGGATACAAATCTCCTTAGTTTTTTGCAAAATCTCTTATACACATGTTTTAGATAGTGTCCAAGATTAAATCACAATATGCCATACTAAGTTTAACTTTAAATCCATTGAATATTTGGCAAATGATATTTTAGGGGAATAAGAAAAAAAAATCAGGTTTAAAATATGCCAAGAAAAAGAGAAGAGAATGATTTGTGTGTAGTGAGTGCCCATGAATTTTGAGGCAGAAGTAATAAAGATCCCTGGAAACTCATGGAAATCAACAAAAAGCCCTGAGCATTCCTTATAAAACATCTCAAAGGACAAAGGACTCTCAGGTGGATCAAGTTTAAATTACAGTAACTCTATGAGGAGGAATATTCTAATCCCTGTGTTATAATGAATAAATTAAATCTCAAGGAAGATAATGATTAGCTAGGACCTTCGAACCCTTTAGTAGTCAGGAATAAGATTCAAACTTGAGTAAGTTTAACTCTACACCAAATGTACCTCCTGCTATAACTTAGATGGATGCCACAGATAGAGGAAACAATGTAGCCAAGATAATTTAAAGAAGGCTATGTGTCTTAATCTCATATTGGTGTATGTGTTTGTGTATTTGTGTATGCAAGTGTGTGTGTATGTGTGAGAGAGAGATTTTTCAGTGAACAGTGAAATACATGTGAATAATGAAAATATAAATCGTGGTCAATACTCAGGCAGATAGAATTTTTTGGGACCAAGACATATTGTCAGTACAGCCAATGACACTGGATTTGCTATGTCTATATATAGAGATAAGTGTATATATGTGTGATTTGGAAATTAAATTATACTTACATATTAACAATATGAATGAAAAAATGTGACAAAATTCAAGCAGTTCAAACACAGGTTGTTTTTGGCATGACATGCATGACTGTACTATGACAAGGGTGATATAACAAGTAATTGTTTCAAATCTTTAATTGAAATAGTATGAAATTTAAGACCAGAGGGCATAATTCTTAGAGATAGCTGCTTACTATATCATATACTTTATGTCTTCGACAAATTGTATGTCTAGGACAAATTGTAAAATACCATAATGCATTTATTTTTAGATCTTTTAAAGATTTTGGCAAATGCCATGTATGTCTTTTAATAAGGAAAAATTTAATGGATATCCATTTTCTTAAAATAAACTGATATTAGTATGCTTGCAAAAATCAAAACTGAATACCATTTGGGCAATTGAATTAAACAACTTATTAATTTAGAAGAAAAACGTGCATAAATGTGAACTGGCATGTGGAGAATAATTAAATTGTAATTCCAAAAGGTTAAAGTAGCAATTTACTTGTTCTGATTTTTTTTTTTTTTTAAAGATTTATTTATTTATTTATACAAGCACTGGGTACAGTCAGAAGCGCGGGAGGGTGAGAGAATTCACCAGAGCCAGAGCAGGGAGCAGAGCAGGCAGAAGGACCGAAGTACACTGCTGAGGGGAGCAGCGGGCGGCAGGAGAGGTCTGCGTGCCATGTGGGACCCTCCTCCGGTGGCCGGGGAGCAGCCGGGGATCGAACCGGCGCTGCAGAAGCCGCGGGCAGCTTCGCAACCCAGCGCTCAACCGCTGCGCCACCGGGGAGGCCCTTACTTGTTCTGATTTTTAAATTTAGGTAATAGTTCAGATTTTTGCAATATGGCAAATCAATCTCTGATTTGTTTTCCAATATATATGGGAATTGTACACCAGCACTAAGGCTTTTGTGTGATACCTTACAATAATTGATATGATATCAAATATTTTTAGCTATTGCATGCCACATAGTTTATTTTACACAGCACACTTTTAAAAGGTAGGCAGATATAGTATTTAAATTTTTATACCAATATATTTTTTATAAATGCAGTGTGATTTGGAAATTAATTTATACTTAAAGACCTCTTTCTAAAAAATATAATATTAAGAACCAGTTAAATTACTTTTATAAAACTGCTCTTTTAAACATTATTACTAGAACATTTATCTGATAAAATACACTAGATAATGAAGTATTCTTTTAGAGAATTTTAGGGTAGATTATCGGTGAGCATTTTGAATCACCAATGTTAAAGTATGTTGACCAATCTATTTGGCAATGTGTTAGCTTAAATTTTTCTTTAAAAAATTAATATAATGTCTAATGATGGTTGCAGTTGACAAATTTACATAGATTTGTAAATACAATATAAAATTTCTTGATATGGTATGCCAAAAATTGCTTTTATGTAATAATTTTTGCTACATTACGCTTTATAAATGTCATTTGTTTTTACTTAGGAGGTTGCAGGAAGGTAAAAGACAAGGAATTTGAATCTCTGCTATAAGTTGTATAATTACTGGATGATAATAGGCCCAAGGACTAACAGCATGAAAAAATGTGAGGGTCAAGTTTTCATTCTTCCATCTCCATATTGTCAATACTCCATACTCACATTTCCTTACCTTATATGGAAAAAAAAAATTGTTGAAATACTGACAGTGGCACAGAATTTAAAGATTAGAGGGTCATAAAAATACACTTCAAAAGAAAAACTATCAGGGGCCTCCCGGTGGAGCAGCGATTGAGCGCTGGGCTGCAAAGCTGCCCACAGCCTCTGCAGCACCAGTTCGATCCCAGGCCGCCGGGCAAGGGTCCCACATGGTGCGACAGACCTCTCTGTCTCAACCACTGCTCCCCTCAGCAGTGTACCTCGTCAGTCTGCCTGTTCTGTTCCCTGCTCTGTCTCTGGTGAATCCCCTCACCCTCTCGTGCTTCTGACTGTACCCAGTGCTTGTATAAATAAATAAATAAATCTTAAAAAAAAAAAAAAAAACTATCAGAGAATAAGTTAGACACCAAATACACAGCATTTAATAATAAATTGCTTGTTTCACAATTTACTTCCATGGTAGGTGAAAAATGATATTTAAATAGATACAGAATACTTTACTAGTGGAGAATGAATCTGTGGTCTTTTTAAATTTATGATTTCTCTTTCATTCATCAATTAACATTTCATTATAAATATCTGCTGAGAAATTTTCTTCTCTGACATGTCATCAATGAAACACCTTTTCTCTAATTATGTTGATAATTTTACTCGCATAGAGGCTTGAGCATGGAATAGGAATGAGGGTAAGGAGCAGTTGAAATATTAATGTTTTAACAGGTTAATGAGGTTTATAAACCTAGTCAAGATTCTGGGGACTAAACAAGTTCATATTCCTTCCCCTAACACACATTTATATTGGAATTTATAGCCAATATTGAACTTTTCTAATATATTTTGAGCAAACTGTGTCTTACTTTTATGTTACTGGTGCTTATTGCAGTTAGATTTATCCTTCTTCCTTTGAAAAGTATTTTTGAATAAATTCCCATTATATACACTTTCATACTATTATTACATCAAAAATAAATTTTGTGATTGGTTTGTGCCATTTCTTTTCTGGCAAAAAAAGAAAAGTTTTCATGTTATTTCCATAGTTAAGACTTGGGTAAAAATATAGGTATTCTTATACACACAGACACTCACTGTATTGTAAATATTTTTAGTCTTTTGTATATAATGATGGTCTGACATTCTAAAAGTCCTTTCTGGCTGAGGGCAGACTGCTCCTCCCAGAACCAGGCGATTCTTGGAGATGGCAGAGTGCCCAGGCAGGAGCCTGTTTTGATATGCAAAGTAACCACTCCAGAGCCAAACCTTCTCAGCTAGTGCATGGGCTCTGAGAGGTGCTATTCCTCCTCCTCAGTTGCCCCAGGAGCAGGCACTAGACTACTGTAGTTCCCAAATTATTCAAACTAGCCAAACCTAAACCAACTGTTCACCCTGCCGTGTCATCCATTTTCTATGGAACCTTGACACACAAGGGTCATAACCTAACCTCTCCCTATCCTGTTTAATGTCTATTAAACACAGAAAAATACAAGCCCAAAATGGAATCCTTCATTCCTAGTCCGCACCCACATTTAATACCTAATCTCATTGCAGGTTCCACCTCTCCCCAAAGTATAAACCTAAACCACTCTGTCTGGACTTTCCAAATCAGCAAGAGAGAAGGACTCTACATGTTCAGAATCCCTGCCTTGCCCTGAGGAGAGGTAGGTTTACCTAAAATTATCCTTTGTCTTGCTAATAATATTGTCCTACCCTCTTTTTGTCTTAAATACCCTCCATTTTGTGTGACACCCTGTAGACCTTGAACAAGATGCTGCCTGATTCATGAATCACTTCATAAAGACAGATCTCTAAATTTGTGGATTTTTTTTAACACTTCTGACTAACTCTGGAGGCTTCTTTGAGTGACCCTGCCAGACAGGCTGTGTTTCTTCTCTCTAGGCATAAATATATTTTGCTTTTTTTTGTGAATCTCTCTGTCTTCTCGATGGCCACATCTGACTTACTACCTCACAAAATAATACAAAATACCTGCACACTCTTTTTTGTCCCTTATGTCAGTTAGATGGAAAGGCAGGGTGAAATTATTTATTTCATATAAGAAAAATAACCATCTGGGAAACCTTCAATCCCCAAACATAGTTATTACAGGAATTATCATTTCATTTTTCTAGAACTTGTTGGGAATTACAACACTGAAGAACCATTTAGTGATATATTTCTAGCATCAATTGTCCATATTGTTTTCTAATTTCTAAGTCACAATGCCAAATAATTAACAGGAACAAGTAAAATCAACAAAGGAGGCATGATTATGAATAGCTTTTACCAATAGAATTCTGAAAAAGCATTAATTTTTCTATTCATTATTTAATCATCTGGATAACTCCCAGAAGGAAAAAAAAAATCAAAGCTCAGTCACATGACAGAGCTCATGTAGAAATGATAAAGTTGCTATCAACCAGCAACACGAAGATATTAAGCATGATAATTATCTTTTCCATTTTTGCTGGTGCCTTCACTCATTTGAACATGGATAGAGTCCAGATAACAAAATGTCCCCATACTTTAATTTGCTGAAAAGTATCATCTACACTACACTCTAAAGCTTATGGACCATGACTTGACATTATAGACATGGCTTAATTAATAAATGAACATGAATAAGTTGATTCATAAAGACTTAAATTTGTTTATAGCAGTGCTTCTTAAAAATTAGTGTCCAGAAGAACCATTCAAATGGCTTGGCTAAAACGCATATTTCCAGGTTTCACCCTTAGAGTCAGTGTTTCATTACATCTTATGTGGAACACAAGTAGCTATTTTTCTAGAAAATTCCCAGATGATACTAATGATGCTGGAGCAATATTTCTAGTCAATGGTTAAATAAACTCATTATTAATTGCTTAAAATCTAGTCTTAGTGCAATATTATAGTGGAGATAGTGAACATGGGCGCAAAATCATGATGCTTTCAATTATTTTATTTATCAATTCATGGGTACCCAGTCTAAAAAGCTTTATATAAATGTAGGGGAGGAAAAATAATTTTCCTCTACCTTTTTAAGTTCTTGGCTGAAACATACCCTGCAATAAAGATAGATTAACAGGAGAAAAACAAGCAAAATTTTAATAACTTATATACCTCTGACACATATTTGAAAGTCCTAGGAAAAACTGAGTGGCTTCCCCAGATGGCTCAAACCACCATGTCAAATAAGGGGAAAATGTTGGAAATTGGAGGTGGGGAGAGCAAATAAGGGATGGGTATGATTGTTATGCAGATTAAAGTCTATACCTTTGCTATAAACACAAGTTTCTAGAGATTTTGTCATCTGCATTTTCTGCTGTAGAAAGGAAGACACACTTATAAAAGATTTCCTTTATAAATATACATATCTGATAAAAATTAACTTCTCAGTTTTCAGAGCTTCCTTGTCTGCAGTGCCTTAAAAATAACCAGCCTAAAATAATCCTTATGCCAATGAGGCGTATTTCATAATGGCAAATCCTGCTCCCTTTCAAACACACAAAAAATGAAAGAACCAACATTTGAGGGGCTACAATCATAAATTTCTATCCATTTCAATATGTGGTATCCATTAATGAATACCTGTGAAGTTTGGCACTTGTGTGCATCTGTTGAACTCTGTGAGTTTATATTTACACCCTCAAACACCCTGCCTGCTTGAACTTGCATTTTTGGAAAGGAGATTAATGGAAGAAACACATTGGAGCTCAAAGAAAATCATAGCTTACCTACCTCTGGGTTCTTCTAGGCTCTGAAATAATGAAACAAATTCCAGACAGACTGATAAGAGAAAAAAAGCTAAAAAATAACTATAGATGGGAGAAACCCAGGAAGACTAACTCACCTATGTGGCTTCAGAGACCATATTAAATAATCTCAGCTAAGACAAAGGGTTTTGCAGGGGACAGAGGAGAAGTTCACTTATGTAAGTTTGCCAGGGAAGGCACTGTTAAGAAAGGTATGACTATTGGGCATATTTAATTTCTGCTTTAAAGCTTCAGAGCCCTTTCAACGAAATAAACCTTTGTCAAAGATGTTTTTTGGAGTGGTAAGTTTTTGTTCCTCTGCTTATACAAATCAATATATAATTATAAAATCTGATAAAATCTCTGAAACAATAAAGGGTATTATTAGTGGGATTCCTATGAATTAAGGGTTTAGAACAGATCTTCCCAATATGTGTCACTTTGCATGTCAGTTATTTAAAGCTGAGGTGTGAAGTCTCCTGAGAAATCTTTACCACTCCCTTAACTGTTTGAAAATGAAATTTAAGTCATTACCCAGAATTAGGATTTTAATTTAATTCTTAAACAGCTAATTACAGATCATCTACTCTTCATCATGTGAAGGATTTACGTTCTCCTTGTCATGAGTCCCCTTTTTCCCTCCAGAAGCCAGGCTGCGACCCTAATCCTTAGTTTAGGATATTTAATGTAGACCATGTGGTAGCTATATTATTAAAACTTTTCTCTAACTAATCTGTCTGAAGTTAATTTGATTGCTAGTCCAGCTTGAGGGTTTTGGATTCCACCCTACAGTAGGATAGGAAATTTACTTTGATTAAATGCTGCATTTAAAGTCAAATTTGCAGGTTGAGTAGATATTGGCAAAAAGTCAGGGAAAAGTACATCAGGGAAAAAATATATAGGTTCAAATATCACCTTGGTGTGTTGAAAGGAGACCAGAGTGCTGAATGTGGGAAAGAAGTCTGTTATAGGACCTTATGTTTTAAATTAAGGACCATAGATTTTAGCTTCAATGTAGTAGAAAGCCATGGAAGAACTCTGAATGTGTTAAAGATTTTTATCTGTGTTATATGTTTAAAATTTTATATATTTCAGATCACTTTGATGCTATGATTAAAATGCTTTGGAAGAAACTAAAAGTAAAATAGAGAGACCATTTTCATTTCAGATAATGGTAGTGTAAATCATAATATCCATTTGGCCTTGTTTCCTTTTAGTTAACTTGAAAATTAAATGATCTGGAATATTCTTTGCCTGCTACTTGACAAATTACTACTTCCAGATATTGGCTATCTTTATATCATCCTAGTGATCTTCAGTTACTTTCTATAAAGTATGCTATATAATATACTAAATTGTAGCCATTATAGGTATACAGTATATATGAACTATTTCAGGTAGTGAAAAAGTAGTTTAAAGGGAAAAAAATAAGGTGATTAAGAGCACCCAGGTGACTGCTGATCTAGAGGAGGTAGAGGTGGTCTCTCAAGGAGGTGAGTTGGGCAGCCTAGATGAAGCACAGGGACCAGGAAAACATCTGGCCAAAGAGCATTCTTTTTGCAGAAGGGGCCACCAGCATCAAGTTCCAGATAGACATTGGCTTGGATGTCCTGGAGTAGCGGCCTGGATTCTACAGTTGGAACAGAGGGATTATGGGGACGAGCATGAATACTAAGTTTGAGAGGTGATGAGTGGCCTGATAATTTGGGAAGAGCCATGAGGCTGTTGGGAAATACCAGTTCTACTGTGTGTGTCAAGAAAAACCACCTGTGGTTTTGAACAAAGGAATGACCAAATCCCACACAGAGTTAAAGGACATCTCTAGTGCTGGCCTTGGAGAGTGAACATTATCAGGGCACAGACGTGGAAGCAGGGCAGCTAGTGAGTGTGCTGTTGTAGGCATCCAGCTGGGAGATCTGGGTTTGGGATTCCAGAACTGTGAGAACACGTCAGCTCCCACGACATGGGATGTATTTTGAAGAGAGTTACTGGATATACATTGTTCAGAAAGAATAATCAGTCCATGCTAAGCATTAATTGCCAGATAAAATCCTTGTGGCTGTGAGTCTGAACATTCTGGCTCCTGTTAACAGCTCAACCTGTTTGCATCATATTCCCATATTTGATTTTCTTGTGGTTGTTTCCTTCTCCCCTATTTCCATATTAGTCAGTGGCTGAAGCATCCATGCTTTCATGCCTCTCAAACAAATTCAGAGTCTCTGTTCTGGACTCACTTCCTCTGGAAGCCTTCCACCAACTCCTAGGGCAGTATTAGACCCTTCCTTGATGACATGGACTCTGTCAACCCTTACGCAAGATTGGTCTTTTTCTCTCTTACTTTCATATTCATTTTTTAAAAAGATTTATTTATTCATGCATACAAGAACAAGGGTACAGGCTAGATGTGCAGGAGAGTGAGAAGATTCACCAGAGAGAGTGGGGAGCAGAACAGACAGACTGACCAAAATACACTGTTGAGGAGAGCAGCAGATGAGACAGGAGAGGTCTGCCATGACATGTAGGTATCTCGCTGGCTGGCCGGGATCGAACCTGCACTGCAGAGGCTTCAGACAGTTTCACAGCTCTACGTTCAACTGCCTGCGCCACCAGGGAGCCCCCATATTCATTTTTTAAAGTATATTTTATGATATTTCATAGACAGCATGTAGTACATACTATCTTTGATTATATAAATATTTCTGAAACCTCTTATACCTGACAGTTTACATGGGATGGCTTCATTAATACACAGTTACTTAGAAAACCTTTGAAAACTGTCTGAGAAAAAGGCTGATATTTGCATGCTCTAAATCACATTTGTATTTAGAATATAAGAACTCTAGTGAAGCATGTTTTAAATATTTAAATATATATTTCTGTCAACAAATATAACGATCATGCATTTTTTTTTATTTTGATGAAAGAATTTTT